GATAGAAACACATCAATACATATATATAAACAAACAAAGGCAAATCATAATAATAATCAATAACATAATAAAATGATACATAATAATTATTAGCATACAAACAATTATATAGCACAAAGTAAATAAGGCAAAATCATAGACAGGTTCAAAGAAACACAAATAAAATCAAAACATAAAAACAAAAGATATCAAAGCAAAAAAGATAAATAAGATTTAGAAACATATGATGTGTATAGCAAATATAATTATCATGTATAATAAGCGTTAAAAATAAAAACACATCTACTCCTCTATACAAATGGGAGAACTCAAGATTCACTATTCATGCTACATTAATGCTATAGTAGCTTTGTTACTGTAGCAAGCATGAAACTGGACATCGTAGCTTTTTTAAAAAATTACTACAGCACACGGGAATGCTGTGGCAGAGGCGTGATACTGTAGCAATTCAAAAAATTACTATAGCAGTTAAAACCGAGATTACTGTAGTGGGGAAAAAATATGTCGTGCTTTGCACGGTGTTCACACTAGTACATAATAATAAGCATATAAAAAGTCTGAATATTTATAGTCTAATCATGCTAACAAGATAAATTATGATAAAAATAGTCACAAAAATATTATATGATATAATAGACATAAGATCTAACAAGCAATTCAAAATAAACATATTATATAAAACATATTTAAAAGGACATAATTATATATTCGATAAATAATATGATAAATCAGAAATATTAGTAATATTCATAAGATAAAAAATAAATATAAACAAGATATAACAATAATAATCATTACTGTATAAAATCAATTCAAATGTAGCAATATATTGCATAGTAATCAAAATCATATAAATACATTTAGCATAAATTCGTATAATAAAAACACCGATATATTTTAGATAAACATACCATGAATGATTGATGACATGTGAACATAAACACTGACAATACAAGAAACATAACACGATTAGACAAAGTTAATACTAGAAATGATGAATGAAAATAATATATATCATAAATATAATAATATATGTGAATACAGTATAATGAAAAAGAGAATAGTAAGTATAAAAAGAATGAAAAAGTAAAACACAACACAAAGTAACTAAAAATAATGAATAGAGAATGAACAACTAACAATGACACAATAAAAGGACATAAAAATCTAAAAATACCATAAAATAAATACTGAAAAACAACATGCGTATACAATGTATATTGTCACAAATGACAAAATAATTTATATCGAAAATGAAGCAAACAAATAATAAATATGCAAATATAATATTAACAACCCATGAGTAAATATCATACATACCCACAACGCTATTTAGAGTTATCTTTTATATTAGTTATAAAAGAATAATAGCTAATGATATGAGATAATGTAACAAAAACCTATATAATTAGTAACTCAAACTCCAAACCTAATAATATGAATAATTTCTTGAATATCAAAATAGAAATACATTGCTCTTAGAAATAACGAAACCCCTGTGAACATACTAAAACAACCTAAATAAAACAAAACTGACTGATAAGAAAACTATGTACTGAAAATATTGTGAGTTGAATAAATAGAGAATAAGAATGTAATACATATGTAGAATATTAAAATCATGAACTTATTAATGTATATCACTAAAAAATATAAACAATATACAATAATCTAGAACATAAATAAATGATAGATGGTATGACAGAAAAAACACACACATACACAATGTAGATATGTAAAAGTATAATTAAACAGAGGAAAATAATCTAAACATATATGCTATGTGATGTATATGTGAAGTCTAGAGCAATGCAAAACACTTAATGAATATGATTTGAATAATTAAAAATGTATAAGTAACATAGTCTAATAAAAAACATACAATATAACACTGTGTGATACATTAAATAATATAACAGCACGAGGAAAGAGAAGTTATAGGAAGAGAGTGTGTAGTTATGAAACAACGAGACAAGAAATAGTTGGGAGCTCCAGAGTCAAAACGTGATAAGGTAAGGATCAAAATATAATTTATCGAGATAATATGATAAGGACTTAAGTATAGTCTTACGGATGAAATAATGATATGCGTCTAAATTATCCGTTATATTCTCACTAGTGGGAACTCGGGACCGAACCTGCATGGGCCACCAAAAACACCTGTCACGCCCTGCTTCCCAAAATACCAGGGGATCGGAACGTGAACAAGCCAATGACGTATTAGACTGAGGAGAAATAAGTACTAGACCCCTTCTGCTCAATCTAATATGCTAAGCGCCAAGTAATATAATATGGAGTCACAGGTTCCCGATCACAGTTAGCAAGAATATAATAAACAACTCAGAACAAAATGATCCATATCACAACTAAAATATAATCCCAAACATAATATTTGGGCCAAGCATGCCCTTATACAAAACTATCCAACTAAAATACTAAAGAAATATAAACTACATCGTTTAACGGGAATGAAAAGTACTACAAAAGTAAACTAGGGCCATCAACTAACTAAAAGAGATAATTAAGCTTCGACTTGTTCTTCTACTCTGTCTGAAAAACACTCCTACTGAGAATACTCTGGCTCCTGTACGACTCCGAACTAAACATGTCCATCCTCTAAATCTGACGTACATCCCAAGAGAAAAGGAGTACGTCAGCGTGCATGACACACAGCAAGATCCCACAAGGAAGAATAGAAACGGTCAAACGATCAATACAATAACATCAATAACAATAGAAGCATGCAGCTGGAATTCTAACAATCTAGATGCAATCCACTACTATAGTATAACGATCAGAATAATCATCCAAGTAACGAGGTCATGTAACTAGCCATCCTATAATAGATCACTGGTCCACTTCTCACATAGAATCAACGCTCATATCATCAGATAACTGACTGTTCACAAATCCTCTACGTGCATCCAAACCCACGAAATAAGATGAGAGAGAACTACACGCAATCTAATTTCGTCCTGGTCCGAACTCAAGCAGAACTCGGGTGATGAAATGATTTCACTGACCACGTGAAGAACTAATTCACTGGCCCAACAGACTAACCCCAAGCCGAAACAAGACACTGGTGCGAGCCTGGAAGATACATCAACAACCATATCCGATTACATGAACCAAGCCTTTTCCATCCCAACTTGTTTTATTAAGTCAACACAACATATATCTCTAGGTCTTGTACATGACACGCAAGGCCACTAAGATCATGAACTACTAACGGTTCTCAATCACAATAAGAAATAATAGATGCAACTGATCATGTGCAATAATATCATGACATATCACATAATTAAAATTTAAGAATTATAAATCATAAACAGCACCTATGAACAGTACGGTGTTTGTGAACAGTTGTTGTAGCAGTAACTTAAATATACATATGCATGCAGATCGATTTCATCAGTATCTTACTATTCAGATCTCTAAACTTCTCATAAAATTATTCTAAAATAATTCTTTTACCAAAATAAATTCTTTTAATTTATTATAATTATTCTAAAATAGTATTTAAAATATTTCTTTTTCTTAAAAATAACTCATATCTTAACAAAATACTATTTATCATAGTATTATTTATTTGTTAGTATTTAATATCATTCGTCAAATAACCCGTGCATATTATCATAGATACACACTACAATATATGCATATAATTCATAACAGATCTAAAAATTCAGATTTGAGGAACGAGATCTTGCCAGCGAGGCCAAGGGCCTGTGGATGAGGCAGTGATGCCGCTGTTTGTTGTTTACTGATTCGGCGACGCGCGTAGCGCATCGTCAGACTCATTTGAACGGCAACGTCGGCGACGGTTTAACGGGGCTGTCGGGAGTTTGGATAGCCAGAGAGGCCGGTTGGGAGGTTGGCGCATCATCGCTTATTGGAAAGAAGAAGGAGCAGCTGGTCGACTGGGTTCTGAGCGAGATTCAGCATAGCGGATCTCAAGGGGTTGGGTGGCGGTGTAGGGGATAGGGGCAGCGAACTACGGTTGAGTGAGGTCACGCACGGGAGGTGGGCTGTTTTGTCGGTCGTTGGAGGGGGCAGGAAGCAGAGGGTTGGGCGGTACTAGTTCTAGGGGCACGAGAAGGTGATGCGGTTGTTGATTTCCCAGGTCTACAACGCGAGCGCGTCTAGTGACGATTGAAGGAGGAGCGGAGAGGAGGGGGGAAGAGGAGGGCTGGAAGGAGGGTGGCTTGCAGGGGCTAAGGGCGCATATTGCCAAAGGGGGCGCAGGGAGCGCGCTGCGAGGCGCGTGGCATGGAGGGTGTGGTACTGGGAGCAGAGCGCGGTGCGATCCGCGATTTGCTGACGAAGCTGCGGGCTTCAGACAGTGCTGTGGGCTGAGGGGCGGGGCATTGAGGAGGTGGCCGGAGGGGAGAGAAGTACGGGGCGGAGCTGGTCGGAGCTAGTGCAAATTTCTGACCAAGTAAGATTATGGATTAGAAAGGATATCGTCATAATAACTTACAAAGACCATCCTAATCCTCACTAGAAAAGGTAAAGAGCAAGTGAAGAAACTGATACATCCATCGTCAGGAATTTCATTCAACTTTGTGAAACAAATAGAGACGAGAGCAACATGACCTAACACATTCCAATTAGTAAAGGAGGGGGAGGGGGAGAGGGAGGGTGGGGGTCACCAGCAGCCTGCAGCATATATACATGCCATTTCCAGACTAGTGGTCTCATAAAAGAACAGTCAAGATAGTACCACCCGCAAATTATAATATTCCCGCTAAACACCATGCTCTCTACACATCATACCATAATAATTACGCCCATACACTACAGAACCAAACAATGGCTTACAACTCGTATCCACCAACACCCACCCAAGCCCCTTTTGGGTACGTCCAACGCACGCCGCAGGTGTACACAAAGCAAGATACTAAGAACATACTGCACCTACTGAGCTAATTATTAGCAAAAATACTATAAATCAAATGCCAATCAGCAACCAACAAACTCCTCACGATTACTCAACTGAAGGCGAGCAGAAAAGCACAATCACATGATTGTCATCATCATTATTATAGTCACTAGGCCAACTATAAACAATGAAAGCTTTACATAAAGAGTGCTGACTACAAATGAATGAATACAATACAAGAATCTCACAATCTCCTCTTTTTTTTTTGTATCTACAACCCCCCAAGAATTGTACACCTAGAATTTTACACTACTACTAAAACTAGTGTATGCTCGCAAAAGTTTCAGACTTGAAGAGAGATTCTCGTCTTAATAGGCTTTAGCTTTAACCCCATGCTCTCAGGTGAGAATAACTCCGGTGATATGCAAGATGGGCTTAATGGGCTCCGTGGGCTGGTGCTGAGCTGGCTCGGCCTGTACAGCCCATAGCCCATGAGGAAGTACTCCATGGGTATCAGCATGGCGTGGGGCTGCTCTTCTGTCACCATGGACCCACATGCTTGTACCTGCAAGTATTTGATCCCAGTACATGTGAATGTTAGGTACTACGGTCATTCTTTTTTAGGGAAATAGGGCTAGGGTTTTGGAGAAACATATCAGTCTTCAACTATAAGGGAAATCACTAACTAGATGAGCCTGTCAATCTCTATTATTTATAATACAATGATTAAAATATGGGATACTTCTAGTACATAAAATCTTCAGGTTTCATGAATAATTCTCGAGGTGTTCTCAACATATATCCCTACATGACATTAGCATGTTCCTAATATATTCCATCACAGGTGCAGGTGCATTGATGATTCATCGACGAAATATGAAACAATCTCATGATAAAAATTTCCAAATTGGGTAACAATGAAAAATCGTACATTAGTAATAGTAAGCATTTGATCCTGTATGGCTATAGCACATGAATGTTCGGTGCTAGGGTTGGCTCTTCTTTAGGGAATAGAGTTAGGGGTTTGGAGGAAAATAATCTGCTAAGTTTGAAATCAGAAACATAAGCAGAGCCTGCCAGTCTCTATAATTTATAAATACAAAGATCAAAGTATGTGATGCTTCTAGTGCATGAAATCCTCATAATATTATCAATATATTCTCAACATGTATCTCTAGATGCCATTAGCATATTCTGAATATGTTCCCTAACAGGGGTATTGATGATTGCTTGATGCAATATGAAACAGTCTCAGTTAACATTTCTAAATTGGGCAACAACAAAGAATCATATATAGGAAGTATTTGCTCTTCTTAGAGAAATAGGATTAGGGGTTCAGAGAAAAATAAATATCTGGCTGAGTTTGGGGAAATCAGAAACTCAACGAGATTCTGTCAATATCAATTAAAGATTAAAACATGTGACATTTCTAGTACATGAAATCCTCAGACTACTCTCAAGATATTCTCAAAAGATAGGGGATGTTTGTTTCGCCAAAAATTTTGGGATTTGATATGGATTATAAGTTTTAGGATCAAAAAGTGAGTTTTTTTGTATTTTATGGTTCCATATATGATGTTTGTTTTAAGAAAAATTTTAGAATATTGAATCCCAAAAGTACAAAAAGTGCCTAATTTTTAGAATTTGCCAAATCCTCTCAGTTTGAGAGGATTTTAACAAATCCCATAAATGAGTGTGCTTACCTCTCAATTGGAGAGGATTTGACAAATCTCAATTTTGTCTTTTTGTGGGAGGTAACCTCACCAAGATAGCGTATTCATCATATTACAAAAATTTATTATTTGGTAATGCTACCTATGAAGCACGGACACAGACACGGCGACATGGACACGACACGGACACGAACACGGCAAAACCCAAAAAAATAGGATACGGCGACACGGCTAGATTTTTTAATATTATTATTATATACAGATCAATATTGAATTAAATTCCTATTATATTTTCATATTTTTTGTCATGTAAAATGGAGGTTATAAATAAGAAACTAAAGAAAAGTGTGTTACAGGTGTGAATTAAGATGTCGGGATGACAATGATCTCTTGGAGAATTGAAGACAATAATGTTAAAGAAGACAAGAAAGAGAAGATGAACATATAGAAAAATAGATCAATTTTTTATGTTATATTATTATGTAACATTGACTTGTATAATCAATGACAAATGTAAGTTATGTAACTAATTTTGAAGATAATACCAAATTTTAATTTTTATTACTTTCATCTTGAGCATATCAAAATACAATAGAATAAAGTTCAAGTTGTAACTAGTTAATATACAATAGCAATAACAATAAATTAAAAAATTAATAATAGTAAAACAGTAACTAAAATCATAATTAACAGTAACTAAAGATTAATAATAGTAAAATAGTAACTAAAATCATATTTAATAGTAAATTAAAAAATGAAACCCTAATTAATATTTAACAGTAACTAAAATCATATTTATTAACCCTAATAAATATTTAACACTTAACAGTAACACTGTAACAGTAACTTAAAATAATTAAAATAAACAGTATGTTTGGTGGGGGTTTGTGTGACTTTGAATATTTCTAGGGTTTTTTGTGATTTTTGAAAAGAGAGCGAGAGAGAATAGAGCGCGATAAGATAAGAGAGAGAGATCGGAGAGAGAGAGAGAGAGAGCGCGATCGGGGGAGAGAGAGAGCGACTGAGAGAGAGACTGAGTGAGAGAGAGAGAGCGCGATCGGGGGAGAGAGAGAGAGAGAGCGATCGGGGGAGAGAGAGCGACTGAGAGAGATCGATCAGAGAGAGAGAGAGAGAGAGAGAGAGAGAGAGAGAGCGTGATTGGGGAGAGAGAGAGAGAGAGGAGAGAGAGAGAGAGAGAGAGAGAGAGAGCGATCGGAGAGAGAGAGAGAGCGACTGAGAGAAAGAGAGAGAGACTGAGAGAGAGAGAGCGGAGACTGACCAAAATACGTGATGGGGATGATCGACGACGACGAACCGTTGACGGGGATGATAGACGACGACGAGGACGAGACTGAGAGTTGACGACGAGGACGAGGACGAGGACGAGGACGAGGACGAACTATTGATTGGGTAAGTTTTGATTTCTGACGACTAGGGTTAGGGTTTTTGGTTTCTTTAACTTTGAAACTGGGTTTCGGGTTTGGGTTTCGGGTTTGGATTTCGGGTCTGGGTTTTGCCGTGTCGAGAGTGGAATCGCCGTGTCCGACCCGTATCT